AGGAATGGTGGGGAGCAGAGCAGTGTGGAGGTATAAGACAATGATGTCTGACCAAATATATAGCATATAGTTGGCAAAGGTGAAAAAAAAAAGGTAAATTAAGTAYTTCCCATGACCCTTCAGCCCGAAAAATAAGCCCACTACAGTGGTTTGGTAGTCAAAAAAATGTTGGCACCAATAAATAATAACTGAAATTACATCTCTGTTATATATTATAATATATATTTGTTAAATGCAAAMATTTTTTCTGGGTCAACTGTTGTAGAAGCTTATTATTCATAAGATAAATAAAAAATAACACGAAAATAATAGAATGAAGCATGAAGGGTCTCCCAATAGATAAGGGATATTATGAGGGGGGGCAATAGGAGCATTGATATCTCCTTTCAGGACTTTTTTGCTTAATGCATATTAATTTTTGATTTTATTATGCTTTTTAATGATGATAATAGTAACTCACGTAGTCACGTCACTATCCAGTATCCACTACTGATTAGTTACACGTGGATTTTTAATTAAATGAGTTTTTGTTTAGTTAAGATGTTTAAAATTAATTAGTAATACTGAAATTGAATTTGAAATTTTTGCTGCCTGTTACAAATAAGTCACTAGCTTGATTAAAAATCTTCAATAATTGAAAAATTTAAGATCACAATTCATGGTTAATTTTAAGATTCATAAGAAATGATCACTTAGATATTTAAAGACAAAAAAACATATTATTAAATAWTATTGGAAAACAACATTTTTAAATACAATTGTAATTGTTTTGAAAATATAAATAGTTTGTAACATTAACAGTCAGTCACTTATTACTAGTACCCTGTTTATCAGCATAAGTTATTACATTCAAATAATTGTTGGCATAATAGTACAGTGTAAAAAGTAAACACTACTAATTAGAAAAAATTACAATTGTTTACAAAAATAGGTTATATATGCTTTAAGTTCATAATTAATTTATGTTAATTGATACTAAACTTAAACAAATTAAACATTGCAATACCTACTATATTATCAAAAATAAATACACATATAGTTAGTTAATAAAYACTAACATAAATCAAATTTCTACATTTTAATTATAGTGATTGGATGTAAATAAATTATTAATTAGTGTAAAAGCATTTTTAGTAATAAAATAGACAATATTTTTATATATACAGAATTTTAATGGAATTGTCAGATGCATTTATTTATTTTTCATAAGACAATTTTATACTTAACAATAATAATAAATTATTGTGAATTGTAATTTTTATATTTTAGGAATAAAATAAGTTTTAATGAAWTTATCAACAAATTGTTATGTTATTCACTATTYAATTATTACAAGAATAACAATACATTTTTAAATACATACTAGACAAAAATACATTAAAAACTAATTAATATCACAGATTGAACACAACAATTTAACAAATAATTTATAGACGATGACAAGTATATTATGTGTTCATTGAATTATTGCCAATAACAGCCTTTTTCGTGAAGATCTGGATCATCAAATACAAATGTTTGCTTTGGAAAATCTGTAGCTTTGTTTTTGGTCTTAAACATTAAACATTAAGGAATAATTTTCAACAAATTTGTTATATACTTAAAATATTTATCATTTATAATCAGTTATAGCTTATAACATAATAATTTTAGTMATTGATAAATACAAAAATTTCTTGGCATAGTTAATATCCGTAAAAAAAACTGACCTCTTAATTGAAAATATATTTTAAACCCCTCTAAGGCATATGCAGCAGGAAGGTTTCACTTCATAAAAAAAATAATAATGAATAATTGATTGATTGAATAAATTACATATAAGAATGTATAAAAAGGATATTTATAAATCAATTTGAAGAATCCTGTACCCAAGTTGATCGGTATACCCATAATGATACTCTCAGATACACCATTTATTGTATCCGTCTGTCCATAATATGCAGCATCAAATAAATGATCAGAAGTTTTTTCGAACTAAAATGATTGTCAAAGTAACCATTATTTATATTAAATAAACATTWAATAAAACTATATAATACAGAGAACATTTTAAATAAAATATTTATCATACCGAAGCAAGATTTAGCACAGATTCTTTCATTTTTGATAAACCAAAACGTGTTATACCCAATAATTCACCACGACTAGTCATCAAATCAGCAATCAGCATGGGATGTCTAGGGTCGATAGAAATTCCGTGATTACCCATTACACTATCAATTTCTGATATTATTGTTGCCCTGTAATTAATAATTAACAAATAAGATAAAATATTGAAATAAAAGTTTAATTTAATAAATGATTATTTTAAAGAAATTCTTTACCACAAAYTTATAAAACAAAATACAGCCCAAAACTTAATTATATTTTATTCAAATATGAWTAAATTACTAACAAATTATGGTATTTGAATTTCTCAGTTTGTTACAAAAGCAYGAGTGAACTGAGACCAGTTTTCATCCATAGCCTGCTTTATTTTTAAATGAAATAGAGTAAAGATTCTCAAACTGTGCTATACATACAAATAGTAGTACATGATAGACTATATGGTGGTAGAGTGAAAAATGAAAAATAAATATTAAATTCTAAGCATAGCAATCTCATTGAAAATTTGTTATTTGTTTCATATACAATTAAYATATAACACTTATCCATTTGTATTCATAAATAAATATATTTAACAATGTAAAGTTAGTATAGTTTTATTTTTAATCATTAGTAGTATACTAGTATGTGATTGATAAATAATATACTTAAGTGGTACGCGAATAAAAAGTTTGAGACCCACTATACTAGTATATTYTTATAATTCTCTAGAGCTCCAAATTTTACTTCAATAATGAGTATATTATRATAGTAAAAAAGTTGTTGATACTTATAACTATAAATTGGAACTTGTTGCACTAAAAATGATTGGAATGCTTGAAAAGATAATTTATTCGCAGAGGTATTWTTGAATGATATCCAAATTTGATTTTCCACAATAATTTTAGGTATATGTATATAAGAAAAAATATGACAAAATATGCAAATTCAAACTTTATATTTAATTTYRCCATTTCATAAAACAAATGTRTAGCTTACCTAGAATTATTTATGAACAATACAAAAAACTTGGAAATGCAAGAAGTTCCTGACTATAAATAAGTGTTAACAAATTTACATAGTCAATGTTATTGAAGGTTAAAATTGTTAAAAGTARGGTTCTAACATTTCATGAAATTTATTTTTATGAAAAATAATAAGAAATAATTTTAATTTAAATCTAAAGTAAAAATGTCATTGAAATATTTTTTACATACCTATTGCATTAAACTAATTACATAAAATTCATAGAAACATATTTAAAAAAGTTTTAAAACACATGAATTACATTCAATTACAATTTCTTAATTCATGTTTATCTAATATTTTATGATTACTAATTAGATAAAGTTATAAATAGAGTCCCTATTAAAATAATCTATGAGTTAAAACCT